AATGTGTACCATTTTTTCAGGAATAGCCCAAGCCCAGTTTTGTAAGGGAAGTATATTTGCAATACTGGAACCCAGTTCCTTCCTAGCAACAGTGACACGGCTATGGAATCGTAGTATTTAATATTATAGAGAGACGAATGCAAAAGCGATAGTATCGGTAGGCATACATCGAGCTTCTTTGATTCGGTCTTAGCTAAGCTCGTGTTAGAGCACTCACAGCGACAATTCTAAACTCAATGCTTTAGTGAGCCATATTAGGGGTCACCATGGATATGATCAGTTCACCCGCAAATACCTGTGTTGTTACCAAAGTATTAAATTCGACCCTGTAAAGTGGTAAGCGGGCAGGTTACGGCTGCCTTATTTTTGAAATATGGTCAATGTTAGCTCGTGATTTTCTACGGTTGGGATGGGTATTCATTAGACGGTGGCTTAAACTTAACCAAAGGTTATGTTGTGCCAATACACACTTCATTTGATAATACCATGTTAAAGCCCCTTGTAGTAAAACTTTATTAGCATACAAGATCGTTGAATGTAATCTCGCCACAAAGGAAAAACCGTGTGTCTCAATATATCACCGGCGGTAGCCGGGACTCCATTATTCGCGTTTCGTGCTGCTATAGAGATTTTGATTTTTGCTTGATCAAAGACTATTTACGTCTGACCTCTATGGATCCACTTTGAATTTACTGAGTTATTGATTAACCAGGATGGAACTGCTGAGAAAAAAGAACTTGATGCAATGGTGGGTTGATTGAGCAATCAATACGTAGGTATTGATGATGCATAACTAGAGTATCGCGGTGTACTTCAACGTTATTATGTCTTTATAAAATTTTGTTGAATACATAAGATAAAAGGGTTGCAGTATTATGTCAGATTCTAAATGTAACAAAACCCACCGTAGTTTCTACGATACAGACATCTTAAGGCAAAAGCTTCATACAATAGCTCACAGGCTTAGCTTCGTTGCAGAAGAGCCTATGAGCCCATCTGTATCAGGAGACGAATTATCAGGGCCGAGAGATTGTCGCGCAAGTCTTGGATCGAAATCTCATTAAGGGGTCACAATGAGTATTGAAGCATCGCACATTTTTCTTTCCGTTCGTCAGATGGAAAGCAAGTTACGCCAAAAGAATGTGAATAGCATCCTTTCAATCTATATAATATGTAAGTAAGGAGGTAATATGTTACGCTTCCTATTGGTATAAAGAGTCCGGTGCGACAATGCATGACATGAATTCCTTTAGCTCCCTAGCCTCGTTCGCAAAGAGTGCGTCCAGAATATGGCCAGATAAGAAAAAAAATCAAAAAACTTATCTGAGATAAGCAAAATTCCTATCGAGCTCTTTCAACTGTGTCTGACAAAAGTTCAAAGATATAATTACTATATGCACATAACTTTCGATAATCTCCTTCCTCTACTTATACCTTAACTAGATACGTATTTATCGCTCAAGAGCTCTGCTCACTGATTAATAAACAATATATTTCATTGTATCTGTTCTACTGAGGTATTTTAAGTATAATAAGTAAGTAAGTAAGATTAATAATTAGGTTTAATTATCTACTTGTTGTGTTGCGTCATAAGTTCACGGACTGTAGTTTATTATAGAAATAGCGGGTTACTGGTGTTTTTTTTCCTTTAGCTACGTATAATCTGATCGTGGGAACACCTGCACGGCTAATTTTTATTAAGAGGTATCTCCTGTTATTGCAGATAGAATATGCGAAGGTCTCAAGTTTAATAGACAATTTTATTGCGCATAACATTTTACAAACTATATATATAATAATAGATAAACCAATATGTAGACAAGATCTACATATTGGTTTATCTATTATTGCTAGCACTGTGACAAAATCCACAATGAAGCAAGAGAAATATAGCTTATGAATAGGATTGCTAATCTAATTTGTTTAGAGTAGAAAGGAAATTAGGTCATACAATAACAAAGGGAAAGCAGATTTTAAGAATTATATTCACTGTGAAAATTTCCCAGCGTTTATACTTTAGTGATAACTTCCTCCGTCATCCCACAATGTCGATATCCCTGATGATGGCCGATTTCCGTGTCCATAATGTCGATGTCCTCTATGATCATCTCCATAATACCGATCCCCATGATGCTTATGACGCGCATGATTTCCGTGATGGGACCCGCCATAACGACCTCCATAATGGCGGCCTATATAATAAAACGATAACAAAATAAATTTAGTGTATGAAATCGGAACATTAGAGATAGATTAATGTAAGTATCTCCAATAGAAGAAAGCAATCGATTGTTATCACTATGTGTCCTTGACTGCCGTTGTACCTGTTGTGTCCGTTGTGGTTTCTGTCATTTCCCTTATCATGATAAGATCCCCCTCAACTATCCCAACCCCATCTACGTTCAGACCCGTACCCTCGATCACCATGATGCCTGTAGTGTTAATAGTACAAACAGATTAATCTAGCAATATACGTGAATATGTGCCTAAATTAATACGGCTGGCTTTTCATTTCACATTTGTCAAAGTCCTAAGTAAATTACATTGCGAGCATTTATTAACTATGAAAGAACACTGAATCCAACATGCTTGACATCTCTGCATGTTAAGCTCTAAAACTCGTTTTTTTCACCGTCCTGCTCGGTTTCAATGTCGGTATCTATCGCCATGTCTATGATGTGTCCCGTGATGTCTGTGACCTCCGTGATAAGAGCCGTTATGACCACCATAATGTTTTCTTCCGTGATGACAATAATGTCCGTGGTGACTATGATGGGACTTTCCATGCGTGCCACCATAGTTATGATGGCCTGCCATAATAATCACGATGTCCGTAGTGACCGTATTTTGATTGCGCAACAACAAGATCATCCTCTTCACGATCTGCCTGTTGTTGGCCATGAAGAATCAATTGTTTCGAAGTGTTCATAGATGCTTTTGAGACGAAAGCCCAAAGTTTGCCATTACTTTGACTCAAGTTAGTCTTGTATGAAGTTTCTTTCTGAAAGCAACTTTTTCGAGAGCTGGCCGCCAGCTGCCGGGAATAAGCAGTGACAGCGAGAGCGACATAGATGGAATGTGAGAGGTTAAAGAACAGCCAACGCCACCTCATGACTTTACCTCTGAATGTCAGACCTTTCAAATATTTCCTTTTATATACAACCCTTCATATTTGTTAGTTGCCATGTAGACAGTTCGTTCTTTTCTCTCCTGAAGAGCGTCACGTAATTTTGTTGTTTGCTTCCGGGGTCGGCAAGGTGCGAAGTAACTGCTACAGTGATGTCACATGGTCTTCACAGCAAAACGACGGAGGCAAAACGTTCTTTTAGGCAAAGCTTTTTCGAGGTCAAGTATTCAGAAATCTGACCTACCGGTTGTTACGAATCGCTATTTGATTCTGTTCTGTTAGAACCTTCTCACGCTTTGAAATTCTTCTCAAACGGCATAGATGTATGCGGCCACTGACCGCTTGTTCGTGGGTCATACAGCTAAAAACTTGGATACAATAAAGTTATTAATTTACAGGATACAAAAAACGTGGCCAAGCAATAAAATCGGCTTATCGCAGCAAATGAGAATGTCCTGCTCGATTGAAAAATGAACAGCAGAAATTACATGGTACAGACTGGTATTACATGTCCTTATGTTTTTCTTTTGTCGTTGTTTTCGTCTAGGCCATTCATAGACTGACAATTTAGTTTGAATCTGAGAATGAATCAAGCACGCGTTAGGTAAGATCTTGAATTGCCATGAGCTTATAAGCACGTTCTGTTTATATGATGTCTAAAAAACGTTTTTATGGGGTGAATTGTTTAAGGCGTTAGCGAATTTTCGAGCGTACAATCGTGTTCAGCATGCGTAATAATTAAATGATACCTCAATAATATATCTATATACTGTGAATTAGATCGTTCCCAACTTGAAAATAACTTTAGCTCAGATCCATCCTCGCTTGCTCCGTGCATCAGACTACGAAATGCGTAGCACTTCATGTACAGCTAAAAGCGTCCAACAATTTTCCTTGACCCAATGCTAGATTAAATGATAAGGTTATACTTGGCGCTATTTAGATCCTGAAACTTCCATTGCAGGGCATTTTCGCTATGCGATTTTCATTTTATTCAAAAGCTTTATGTTTAACCAAAGCATTGTTTAAATATATCTATAGGAATACAACCCGCTATATTTAGGATACTCTTCAATGACAGGAGTCGTATAGTAGTTAAATTTTAATATTATTGATAATCGGGCAGATTCAGAACGTGGTACTCATCGGATTCGTCTAGAAGAAAACTGAAGTAGTATTACCTTTGTAAAAGAAACCGCCATTGCCTTCTGTACTGAATCTCTCTTGACTGAAGTGCATGGGTATAACGAGCTTTACGTTTTGCGAGCTCAGTAGTTAAGTGCATTATATAACTCTCTGTTAGGGCTGCGCGTTCGTTGATTGATGAGGTTCATCGAAAGAAGACTTTCTGGACGATTCTCCAATAAATCGTTCAAGGTTACCGTTGCATTGACAGGCGCAGCTTCCTGAGTGGAGAGAATGACAGGAAAAATGCCCTTTCGAGGTGACCTGACAAAAGTTAGAAGAGTGTACGTGCTAGCGTACGGGACTTGAGCATTCGAGAAGTGTGTCGCGTCATAACTAGATTCTCAGGAACGCCACTTAATTAATGCTTTAGATATTTGACCTAAACGTTTTGCCTGTCCCAGATGAGTGTTGTACAATGAATTGGTCGCCGAGAGCGACGAATCCCAAGTATTTCCTGTAGAAATATTCATTAAAAATAAGCGTTGCGTCATTAAATTGGCATAATTGGAAGCTTCTCTGAAGTCGATTATATGTGCGTACGAGACATACGCATCGATGTAATTGTTCGAAGGTAAACTCACGTAGCAACTGGTCTTATCTGAACGTTGGACAGTTACTATCAAAACGACATGAAAGCGTCTTTGTCTTGGTTCTCCTTATCTTTACTTTATCGTCTTAAGAAAATATTTATTTTATTTATATTTACAACAACGACGTTTCTAGCTATTTCAATCCAAATAGAGCAAAAGCTCTACTTTTTATAGAGTTCACACAGTTTTGCCGTTGATTGTTCTCATTAGCCGAACTAATCCTGGTTCGTGATGACCATCCATCTTTTCTATAGAGTTCCGTTGTCCATTATGCAGGTATGTGTTGCAATAGTTCGTTCATGAACTTCTGACATTTTCTGCTGGAACCATTTCTCAGTAGATCGATCGATCATCAACTTTGTTATCTGTTTCACGTTTACTACCCTGATTTCTTCAGCAGACCCCTGGGTATATAAAACTGAATGCTTTTAATGGTAGCCTCCTCCATGTCCGTCATGACGACTGTATCTTCCGTGACCACCATGGTGCTCATGGTGACTATGTACACCATAATGATCCCCATGACGTCTCGCTTCGTGTCCGCCATGGTGTCGATGCCCTTTTCAGTGGGACCCACCATAATGCGAGCAGCGATGAGCCCCTGCAATGCATCGAAGACAAGATACGAGAACTGAACGTTAAAAACGCCGAATAGGTTAATCGCTTGGATGATTCCGTCTAGCGGTGAGGGCTATCGTCTTCCAACGAAGACAAATGCAAGAATAAGTTTGTAGCTAGCAGGAAAAGTAGAGAAATCATTTCCATGTTACTGTATCTATAGATGCTCCTGAGAATTAAAGTATAGCTCACCGTGGTGTCTGGAACCTCTACGACGATAATGCCTATGGTGCGAGCCACTGTGTCCGCTGTCATGATGCTGGCGCCCGTGGCGATCATGGCCCCACCGGCGCTCGGATCCCCAACCGCTATCGCCGAAGTATCTGTGAACGGCCATTACTGCATATAATTATGCTATTGTTTCGTGCTGGCAACGCATTATGCGACGTACACACTCCTCTGGCTATTTGCTATTAGGTTTGACTATAACTTTCTATAGCAGGATTTCCATTTTAAGAAGGTGGTGCTACAGACGTCAACGACGGACCATTTACACAAGCTTATACGAGTTATCTATATGATTAATGCAGCGTGTGAACTAAGAGTTTACTCTCTATCTCTAAAGGGTCGAGTGAGCTCTGATATAGTTGGCACATTTTAAATTCCCTTTTAACCCGTTATCATTCTAATTAAGGTAATTGAAGCCTTCGTATTCCGTAAGATGGTTAACCTGTATTTAACACTATAGTCACACCGTGATCACACTATCGTTTGCTTTGTATCCGGTGCCTGAAAAGGAAAACCTCGGAATACTATAAATGCAACCAGGCATATACGCTACGCTTTCTATTGATAACCCAGCACCGAGTACTGAATCACCTCGGACCAGTGCTCTGGGTTAGTGATGGCAAGAGATATAACGTATACGCAACAAAAAAGGTGCGCATGCGGATAAATTAACCTTAAGAAAGAATTCAGTTGAAATTGCATGTAACAGAGCCGAGACACCAATAAGACGTGTAGGAGAAGCAGGTGCTGCGTGAAACAGTTGCAAAAGAAGAACCACTTCATTTTTTTTAGACCTTCCGTGCTTGTTCCAGTGTCCATATTTGCCGTTGTGTCCTCCGTGACGTCCGTAACGTCGATGACTTCCATGATGGAAGCCACGCGGTGACCCATGCCGCCTTCCGCCATAATGCTGTTGTCCGCCGTGATAACACTGATGACTACCTGAAACTCACACACGTCGTTTAATTGATTAAGGAATCCGCTAATGCACATTGATATAACTGACTTTGTTGAACAATTTTTACAGCAAGTTGTTCCATACGCCGTGGAATAAGGAACTGGTGATGACGGTAGTCAAATTCTATTTCGTTGTCTGCTGTCACTTCCACCCCGCTATGAATTAGTCATTTTGCATTATTAGAAGTTATCGCCAACAAAAACGCGAGTAGGGTGAAGCGTCGAACTCTACATCAGTCTCTGATACGTTTTCTAGAACAAACAAAGGACGCGAACCTTTGTCATGCCTTTGATAATGCCCACGACCTCCGCAGCCAGGGCGATGGCTTTCATATCCGCCATAACGGCCGTGTCCACCATTTCCTCCATATCTGCTCTCCGCTACAGCCAAGTCATCCGTAACATTTAGGACAGTGGTGGGAACAAGCAGTTCCTTAGTTTTTGAAAAGCCTGTCCCATGAACACCAAGCGATTGAGACAGTTTCTTAACTGACTGCCATGTAAGATCGTTTCCAATACGAAATTATTATTTTAATTACGAGAGAGCCAGCAGAATACTTTGTTAAGGTTGCTTTACTGAGGAAAAGAACAATCGGTAACACTAACTGCCTCAATCGCGTGGTGAGCCGTTATGCCAGTTGGCAGCCATCACTGGCGTTTATCTTTGCTAGGAGAGAGGCAGGGGGTGGGTGATCTTACCACAATTTCGGAGTCCCGTCCAGTTGGCCATCTGGTCTGGTCCGAAGGAGGTCAAGTATCAATAGGCAAGACACGTGACATTATCCAAAACCAAACGAATGAAGTCACTTCACGAACGATCGTAGGTCAGCCGCGACTAGGGTTCAATGAATACCACTTTTCAGGTAGAGATACTACCACCCCTGGACCGTCAGGCCTACGACTCCATTGCTATCGCCTGGTCTAGCTTAGGCTAGTTAGGGTAAAGAAGGTCGAAATAGGTTTCTCGTTAGGTGTTGACAAAAGCTTTAATTTGATTTCAAGATTTTCCATTAAAGCAAGTGAGGCAAAAAGTCTCTTAACAGAACCCAATATTTATATATATATATAGATACACGTATATTTTATGAAATTCATATGAGAAATTAAGAATCTCAGACTGCCTCAAAGATCATTCAATCCTACTTTGTGGATCTTATAGAAAACGGGTTTTAACTGGCCAGCACTGCTATAAAGTGCTTCAGTGTTCTGGTGGCAGTTTTCGTCACTTCGGAAAGGTGCACTCTAGCGACTAAAAAAGCATAGCAAGAACGCTTTATAGCCATTGGGTTCGAAACTACTAGTACCTAAGGCCACAGAATTACACAACACAAACTGATACAATTGCATTTGATTCACTTTATTGGCACTCTATTTATGATCTATGAATGTATTCATAACAAAATTAATGAAAATCGAGCATGCAACGCAAAAATATAGGACGTGCACGTGTGTATACTTTTGATCCTATTGCCGCCCAACCGCGATTTGAAATAAGTACGTTTATAAATGTCTATAAGGCGAATTAGTTTAAGAAAACATCACTGTTGATGGGACATTTCGCTTTTCTGAAACTACCTAGCTTTCGACAAGCGTGTAACTAATATGACAACGGTGGGTTTTAAACCATCGTTTTCAGCTAATGTTTTAATTTAATTTTAAGATCGTGTTTGCCCCATAATAAAAGTATGAATAAATTAACGAATTTACACTCAGGATGAATTTGTTTTTGGAAGAGTTTAGAGAACTCTTATATTTTTTTTCTTGTTTATAAAAGCAATTCCTCTATTTAGCAGAAGTCAAACCTTGTACTAGCCGGATCCGCTTCGACTCTTATAAACATAATTCTCTGACATCTGCTGGTTGAGAACTCAGAGGCGTATATTTCTATGCGTTTCCTTGGTACCTTTCAAGTTCACTTACTACATGCTTGCAGCAAATCCACACAAAGGTGTTCGAACACGATGTCGTATATTGAAGAAGTCCTTTTCATATAGGCGACTTTTTTCTCAAGTAATGTTTAAGGCTAATGTCAAGCCTAAAAGTTAGCGCATTCGTATATATTCAACATGCGCAATGTAAAAATAAACCTTTTGCCAAGACAAACTAGTTTTAATATAGTCTAAGAACGATAAACATGAAGAGTTTGCTGTTAATATAAACGAACCAGCAAGTGACGTGATATATGGCTAAACACTTTCTATAACAAACATATAATTGAGCTAATTAGAGTCTATTTGACGACTTGCCCTGAATCCCTTACTCCTTAACCTTTTTCTCTGTTAACGCTTTACTCTGTACAATGACAAGTCATCACTCATCTTCCTCTGCTATAACTCCTCCCAAGTTGACAGATTCATATTAGTGTGTTTATTCGATTGCGTCCGTTATATCTGTCCCTCACACTTTCTTCGATAGATACCAAAAATCATTTGCTTGCTTGTCGCTTACGTTTTACCACACCTTTCTCCTCAACCCATTTTTCCGTTCAGCTACGAGTGTGCCATCGTTTTTAAATTACTAAAGGTATATATATGTATATATAAAGCGTATCGCGTATGTTGTGTGTGCTTTGCGTCGTAATAGCCCTCGGCCGGACAATAATGCTGGTTATTTGTTAGAATTTCTTCTTCTAACGCTATACGATACCAACTTTATCAAAGTTGGTAGAACAACGTATTAGGCTAGAACCGCTGCATTCTCTTCTGGATATCCTTTTCGTCAATCACACAATGTTCCTCAGCTTTTCTGCCCTTCCCTCATCCGCCCCATTCGTTGCTTTAGCGCCCCTTGTTCCGCTGTTACAATTCCCTCACATTATTCCTGACTATTCTTGACATTGCCCCACCAGGACCTAAGTAGTGTTGGCTCATTACCTTCATTTTCATGCGCTCTTTATTTTGGCATAGTGTTTTAAGTGAGTCTTAATTTTCTCTTCACACTGCTAGTACTACTGTTTTTTTACCTGCACCACAATTACGATCACCACTAACACGTTAGTCCCTGTTGCGATGGTATTCCCAATCATCGATGCACCCGTTACATTGTTGCCGCAAGACCGTCTTGCTTGGCTTCCTCGACCGCCCTCTTTGGTTACTACACTTTTTATTTTTCATTGATGACCGGACAGTGAGTCTGCTTCCGTTCGACTTTCATGACTCCTACGTTTACCCCCGACGCTTCCCCAGGTCCCGGCCATTTTTCCTCGTAACCTTTACTGGCGACACTCCTCTTACTACTATTACTGCGATTACGTATCTTACCGTGCTATTCCCGTGCCACCCATCAGTAAACGACGTTTTCCTACGGCAGAGAGTGTTTCTTCCCACTTTGTATCCATTGTCTAAATGCCGTTTATCGTCAGATGGAGAGAAGGCCGCTTGTGTCACTTTGTCATCTGATCGTGACATCGAGTTGTCCGAACTCGACATCACCATCATGTATAAAAAAAGTTCGAATTTAACCGGCTTCTTCCGTCGCAAATGATTACCCTTTCTTGAACGATTGCATTCGTTCGTGACTCGCCGTGGGCACACACTGACTACCCATCCTATATATTGATCATTTGTGTAGGGTAGTCCTTGGCGGGTTTCAACCAATGATGTATATATAAGTCGTTACGTGTGAAAGCACAACATGCCCATATTGCGTAAAGTGCGAAAAACGAGAGAGCGGGAGGGAGATGGTCCTTGTGCTGTTAGTGCGTCGGTTCTGGCACAAGATCGTGCTTCGAGAATGTTGCATTCGCAGCATTATTCCGTTGACGTTGATGGAGATAATGACCAACGCTAACTGCAGTAAGGCCTCAAATATACAGAAAAAACGTAAGGCATCAATGGGAATAACATTCAAAAATTATTTTTAAAAAATTACCTTATAGGGTGGCAAGCATCGTTTATGATAGGCATCATCTTTTGAACTTAAGTGAGCACTTTGAGTTAAGAACTAAAATCTTACACTTTTTCTTTATTTGAATTTTTATAGATCTAGCCTATTGCGTAACTCCTAGTGGTATTAAATGAAGAACCTGTTTGGTATTAAGAAACGGGACCAAGCTCTAAACCTGGTTAATAAAAAATTGGCTTCGCCTTGCTGGTGTCCGTACATGGAAATGTTAGTTAAATTCTTTTTTAAAAAAATTGCTGCATAGGGAGCTTGAAACCTAAACAAAAGACAAATTTAAGAGAACGTATATCTTGCTAAATTTAAGAAGTGTTCACTTTATCCATACTGATCTATTTTACAATAGAAAGAAATATCAAATACTTATTTTCTACACTGAGTATTCTTTTTGTTAAAAATTGCATTTCCAAAATTTCATTGCACACAGCCACGACGAGTGTACAAAACATGGGACAGAATGGCAGACACATAAGACCAAGGTTACTTTCTTTTTGCGACATATTTCCTTTTTTCATTTTCAGTCGCTCTTTTCTTTTCGCGAGGTCTTCGTCCTGGGTCGCGTCCCCAGTATCAGTCGGCTCGCACACCGCTGCGCATACACTCACGATGAAGCGATTAATATACCGTCCATCGTCTTTTTGGCCTGACTCCTCTCCGGCTATTGGCTACCCCTTCCTGAATTGCCCTCTTTGCCCCAGAACCAAACTGAGCCAACATCACTCTGTCGACTTGTACACGCGCCTGCACACGGCACTCAAACAGAAACGTAGAGTCACATCAGCGCAGTAATAACACTAAATTTTTCCAAACCGTAATTACGAGTCCGTTTAGCAAACGATGGCTGATATTGCGCGGCTGAAGACGCGATGTCGCGCGTCCAATGTCCGCGATGCCTTCGGGATCAAAGCAAACGCTATAAAAACACTTCATGTTTCTCTAGCAAATATCAGCTTTAGCATAAAAACTGGTCACCAGGAAGGTTCTACAAGCGGCAGGTCGGCGATTGAAGTCGAAACGGCGCGTACGCCGGTGACTACCCCGACCTCCTTTCTGCCTTCCTCCGATTCAGGAATCGTGCCCCATAGGACTAGCTGTTACCGCCACCGTCGCTTGCTGACTTTTATGCCGAAACAGCAGTTAAAGACGTCGTTGTCAATTATTTATTTTTGTAGAGAAAGGTTTTCTCGCGTGAAAACGCGTGACCATAGTAGAGCGTGGCGTCAACATAAAAGGCGAGATGACGAGGGAAGGTGAAGCGGAGCAGTGTGCATGAAATACTGTTTTTTGTGTATGAAACACAACAAACGCCAAAGTTGTAAATTAATCATTTGAGCAAAACCCATTTTGCGCGGTCCTTTTTATGGGAACACGTTCATACAAAGGAGACGCGTTTCAAATACTTCTCTTCTTTTTAGTAAATTTGTTAGATGTGAGCGATGCATATATAGGTATGCAGAAATCTGACCACAAAATGAGAAATATTAGAAGAATCAGCTTTCCGGTATTTCCTGTGAACAATAAAATTTTGATAAAGTGGTAAAAAAACGTGGTCCATGCGGTTTATAACAACGGTACAATCAAAAGCATCCGAGTAGTTGCAACCAACTATACGCAGTTGCTGTAGTTGATAGTCGCACACTTTTCTCTAAAGAACTAAAGGACCGATTATAGCGTGTTGAATCTCAGTGAATGATTAAAAAATAAATATATATTATTGGGTAATTTTTATGCCCTGCTTTTTACGACCGTATCTAAGAGAAAGCAGCGTGAAAACAGAGATCTTGACGAAACTTTTTTACTATATATTATCACCATTCACCGTAATTACAGCTCTGATTCGGCATTTAGGTCAACAATTAATCCCTTTCAAAATATTCTTTTTAATCCGCAAATGATTTTTTCATTGTATAGGTACGTCGTGCGGTATTGATAAATATACCA